TGTGGTGTGGTTGTGTTGTGTTTGGTTGTGTTGTTTGTGTTTTGTTTTGGGGTTGGGTGAGAGTTTTTTTTTGCCCCCATCCGGATTTTTTAGGGTTTTTTTTTTTTTTTTTGGGGGGGGGTGTAATTTTTTGCCTAATTTTTGTAATTGAGAGCGTTCCGGGGTAATCTAGGGTGTCCCGACTGTGTTCCGGTGCACGTGGTGTTCCGGGGTGTTCCGAGTCTGTTCCTGGTTTTAGAGACACCCATACAGAACTGAAAGCAGAGTAATTGAGCAAATGTATGGAACGGCAGACAAACAGTCGACAACTACAAGGTCCATGTTAAATCAAATGAATAGATAGTTTGGGAAGAAGCTGCAATGTGTCAATGCCGAGAAGCTTGTGTTAACCTACCTGCCTAACCATAGAATCTCTGAACTGAAGCAACAGAATCATCGTATCAGGAGGCTGATATTTGGCAGTGCCGGATCCAGATCTTGAGATAAAAGGGGGGGGGCGGTCATCCAGACCCTTAGATAAGGGGGGGGGCGGTCTCCAAAAAAAAGTTTGGTCTAAAAATAAGGGGGGCCCGGAGGACCTCCCCTGGATCCGCCACTGTTTAGTGAGGAGCAAGCAACTGCAGACAAGTTACCAGTGCACATAATCCTTGGAGCGGCTGATATTCAACTAGTTCAGTCAATTGAACCTCCAATCCTGGGTCTAAACCCGAACACTGATCCCGGAGAAGAGTTCACCATTTTGGGATCGGTTATTGCTGGATAGTCTACCCTTCCTTGTGCTTAAGCAAAAAAGATGTTATTCATGACTTCTAGTGAAAACGAATTCGCGCAGGTGTGTTCTTGGTCTGACAGATGTGTAGAAGGTACATGATTGCTTTCATGAATACTTCATAGATCAACTACAGCGATTAGAAGAAGGTGGCTATTGTACAAGGCTATTACTTGGAAGCCTGATCATGCATGTTTACCTCCAAACAAGGAACTGACACTAGGGAGGTTAAGAAGTGTCACACGAAAGCTAGAAAGCCGATGCAAAGACTTGAAGAGTATCTCACAGTTGTGAAACAGCAGTTAGAGAAAGGGACCCTAGAAGTGGTGCCAGAAATAGCCAATGGAGAAGCCATACATTACATTCTTCATCAATTATTAATGAGAGACCGGGCAGAGTCTCGGACAAAAGATGAGGATAGTGTATGATTGCTGTGCTAAGGCCAATTCTCAAGTACCGTCTTTGATCACTGTCTGGAAGTGGGACCCCTTTACAGCCTATGATCTTTAAAAAATTCTTCTCCGAAATCGCCTAAAGTTGCGCTGTATCACCCGAGGCATTATTTCCCTTTATAGCTTTCTCATCCGAGAGGACTTCCTGATAAGGTTCACACGGAAGAGTTTGTTAGTGATCTGTAAGACATAAAGACACTGTTTGAACTTAACCCTTCGCTCGCCATCTTTTACTATAGGTCTAGAGATAAACAGCGTG